GGGCGCCTAGTGGTTGAGGGCGCCTAAAAAGCCCGCTCAGGCGAGGAGGTGGAGTGGAGGTGAGCTGGGGCGCGGGGAGGGCCGCCTGCGGTAACGGGGGGGGGTTTTGCACAGGGGAACTGCTCCCCGCCCCAGATCACCTCCACTCTGCCTCCTCTGCTGAGCACACAGCCCCCGCTCTTAGTCTCCTCCAATCGGCACCACAAGCCTGGGAGGGGAGGAGAATTAGAGCAGCGCTGGCGTGCTCAGCAGAGGAGAGCTGGGGTGGGCTCCCCGGGCGGGGTTAGCTGCCGCGGAGAGGGCTCTCCAGGCCGGGTTAGCTGCCGTGGAGGGGGGGTTTGCAAGGGGGGGTAGCTGCTGTGAGTGGGGGGGCTCCCCAGGTGGGGGGGAGCTAGCTGCTGTGGGCGGGGCTCCTCGTGTGGGAAGGGCGGGTGGGCATGGTTAGCTGCCACAGTGTGTGTGTGTGGGGGGGGGGGGGGGGATTAGGCGTGGGGTGGGGGGGGATGGCGCAAGGTGGAAGTTTCGCCTAGAGCGCAAAACTTCCTTGCACCGGCCCTGGTGCTGAGACCACCATCTTTCATGCTGACCAATACGGTTTCCTTGGTTTTTTTGTGCTCCCCACGTGTCTGTATCCACCTGTTGTTGCTGGTCTTATACATAGATTGGAACCTCTTCAGGTCAGGGACATCTTTTTGTTGTGTTTGTATATAGCCTAGCACAATGGGGTCCTGGCACATGACTAGGGCTTTTAGGCACTACAGTAATACAAATGCATATTAAAAGCATCAATTGTTCCACTGTGTAGCAGATCATATAAAACAAAGACCTTGGCTCTGGTTTCTTGTATTGTGCCACTGAGCTGGACCAAAATAGTTACAAGAGATGTGCAATTTAGTTGCAGAAACTTTTAACACAGCAAGATTAAATTTTTGCATTTTAAAAGTAGCTGAGGGGGGGAAAAACAACAACTATCATTCACTATATTTTTGCCTTTCAATGCATAAAAAGCATCACACAACTAGAGAGATGATCACAGACCCTGCTCAAAGTTGCAGTGCAATGACCTAATTCGATCACATTTCTAAACTTGTTTGTGCATCACTGATCAGCCACTAGTTCTCTTTTTGTTTTTGCGTGATTTTCACTTTAAAAATCCACACATTTTCTATTAGCTGATATAAATTAGAACTGCACTGATTTCACAGACTAGAGGCAAGGTAACAGCTTTCTCCACTAAAAAAAACAAGCTTTTTTAGCCAGAGGAAAATAAGATGCATATGGCAAAAGTAAGATCTGCAAACTTAATGAGGAGTGATTTTACTGAGTGCAATAACTTAAGTTCACATATTAAAAGGATTTACAAGTGTTGATTAAAATACTTCACCAGACTAGCAGATTATATCAGAAATAGAATGGTAACCAAAATCTGGCAAATTTGTCTTGATTATCCACCAATGAGTGCTCTAATGTTGTTGCAGAGTTTATAATTTGAGAATTTTCTACATGAATGTGTTCTGTATTAAATAAGGAAGGAACCTAAATGCAAATGCTATGTGGAAAATTCTGACATCTCTTATTAGGTTTTCCCCTTACAGGAAGTTAGTGTTCATGAAAATGAGATCTGAGAGTAAAAGTTATTGAAGTGTCTTGTGCATCTAGATGGCAAAATAGGTAGCAATCATCCCCAGGCCATAAGTTTCTGCATCAGGCCTGTGCCTTATCATCTTATTGCTGGCACTTTAATACCACACTAACATGAGTAGTATACTATTATACAGGATATCGCTATGTCCACACGAGACATTAACGCTAGATCCCGTCTGTCTCTTGTTGAAGTTAGATATCCAATAGCACTTTATTCTCTATTATCTTAAAAAAAAAAAAATCATGACCAATATTCTCTCCTCAGAACCCACTTGCCCATTACAAGACATTACCCAGCTAATATTGGCTAGTTCAAATGCCAATTGATTTACAATAAAAAGTGTCTATATTTGACAGTATATTTTGCACTTCTCCATCACCCTTCAATTGTTGCTCATTTTCCTAGGCTGCAGTCTATTAAAGGCAGGGATTGCGTCTTTCTGCATCTACAATATCATTTGTGTTCTTGAACCAGTATGTCCGTCGGCCCACACCGCTTCCAGCGGCTCCCATTGGCCTGCAGCAGCGACCCGCGGCCAGTGGGAGCCGCGATTCAGCTGAACCTGCGGACACAGCAGGTAAACAAACCGGCCCAGCCCACCAGGGGCTTTCCCTACACAAGTGGCAGAACAAGTTTGGGAAACACTGGGCTAGGGTATTCTTCACTTCCCATCTTAAGCTGTTGTGTGGCATTGCTACTGCACTGTTAAACAGCTGTTGTGTTGTTACACTCCACAGGTGGCTGCATTTCAATGGTGGGTGAAGTACCTACCTATATGTTTATCTACGTCACAAAGGTTTTGTAAGGATTATTTGATGGGCTAGATTTGAAAGAATTGGTAAATTACATCTCCCTGCATAACTCAAGATCCCTGTGCTGGAGAACAGGAAGGGTAGGCAGTGCTTCTGCTGCTAATCAACTTCATGGTTCCTGCCAAGGAAATGGGCAGCTTTAACTGCTGCTGGAGTTCCACTATTAGAAGCACCTGAGAGGAATCCAAGGCCATAAACCCTTCCCTGACAGGGCCACAATGGCCCTTATGGCTCCCTTTGTATACGGAAGATTGTAGCAGTTTTGTGCAGCTGCAACCTCTTCCTTCAGAATCTCCACGAGAGTTCAAACCGACAGACTGTAAGGTGAATGTGGCTCAGTCTGCCAAGTGTTTTGAGATCCTTAGACAGACGGTGTAAGGCCTATACACTCCTCTTAGGTCCAGTGGTGCAATTCTTATTTACTTCAGAGAGAGAGAGAGAAGCAAGGATAAAATTGACATGAAAATTTGGCCTCAAGAGTCAAACACAATTCTGAGCAAATATAAATGTACATGACATGATACATACATAATTTTAACATACCACTCATTAAAAAAAAAAGAAAAGAAAAAGACGATTCTTTGTATACAGATTTTTCATGGGCATAATTGCCTCCAAGAAATCATAATCAAATTAAAGCTGCTTGTAATTTCCCATGGAACTGACGTGAACATGGGACTTCTATCATTTAAATAGCTGAATAGTGACATTTCAATGAGAATCAACAAGTAGAGAGAGAATATTTTGATAGACTGAAATATCCAATCATTCCTAGAATACTTACAACACAGCTGATGCTGAATAAAAATAAGCAGCATTTATATAACCTGTTTCACCATCCAAAGATTTCAACTAAAGATTTATATTTGCTCAGAGTCTCATTTTAGAACGTCCTAAAAACCTGAATGGAAACAGTACAATGGACCACTTGGGTGGATAACACAACAGTTTTTAATTCATAATACAATTCTGGAAGCTAATGCTGAGGGCTCAACAATGGAAGACCGTCTCAGTCAGCAAGTCTTCCAGTTTCTAAGAGTCCACAATAAGAAAAACAAAAAAGGTAGTTTTATACAACTAGAAAGCACAACAGAAAAAAATCTATTTATCCTGTAAGCCTACGTGCGCAGTCTTCCTCCTACCTAGGAAATAGCTGTACTTGTAGTACAGAGATCCTGATTTGGCCTTCAGTTTCTAACCCTGCTTCATTACTTGTCCCAACCACCAATGAAGTTTCAATTGTCAGCTAATTCCCTGATTGATAGTGATCACATTCACAAAACTGTACTTGTCACAAACTTTGCTGAATTAGTATTTTATGTTAAAAAAGGAGCCCCACGAACAAAAATCAATGCTTGTTGTTCACCGTATGAATGAATCCCAAAGAACTAAGGATTTGAACAAAAAATACAGCACATTTATGCTGGAGGTTTGCACCAGCCTAGCAACATCAGTGAAATTACACTGGTGCAAGATTCCCTCATGTAGAAAAGCCCATGGGTGCACACTGAATATGTGCAGCAAACACATTCTATAGCAGTAAGCGTATGATTTTGATCATACACCATAACCATGAATGACAGGTAACAGAGTACTTCCTTGTTGTACTTTTCGAAAATCGTCTTCTAAATCTTATTTGACTTGCATGGCTGTTAAGTTTTTGTTTAGCCATTGATATATAACAATTATGTTTGACCACGGGCAACATGCACTAAGAATCCATCTATACTAGGAAAGTGATCAATTGTTGACCAGTGTTGTCAGCAAAAAGTACAGCCTACCCCCTCTGAAACTGGTGCTGAAAAAAATATGAGTGCTAGTGAAGACTGGGTCAAACCCTTTTCAACACATTTCAGAACGTGCAGTAGACTCTAGCAGTATTGATACTTTATATAACGGTGGAAAAGCTTAGCCTCATCTAAACTTGCAATTTCAAGATTGTCTTAAGAGGATTCTTCAGAAAACCAGTGTCAACAGTGGGTCATTTTCCTAATATAGATAGACCTAGAAGCTATGCTATTGTATGTTACCAGTTAACTTGGATTATAACAATGATTTTAAATGTATTCAATTCGGTTTCCTTTTTCTTTATCACAATGCACAGCTCCTCTTAAGATAAATGAAACGTATACATGTTTTGAATAAGGAGAGGACATATTTAGATGTAGATTGACAATGAAAAGAAATATAACCAGGAACTCCATCAACTGGAGCATACTACGAAAGGGATGGTTCCAGAGTACTTCGGAAATCCTTTCCAATTATCATCTACAATTTTCATGTAAATCTGGTCTAGGCTTTAAGATGGGCCAATAACATCTTTCTCCTACTCATACCTTCTTCCACGTAGACCCCTACCCCTGAGCCACTCCTCTCTTCTTTTATCTCTTTCCTTCAAAAGAAACTTCCTCCTCACAACCACTTCCACTCTCTCAGCCTATCAAACTTACCCTTATTCTCATAGTAACAGTATTTGCACACAAACCACTGAATTCTCAAGACACATGCACTACTGACTGAAGCAGTCTCAATCTTATTGCTGCAATGCTCATATTCTCTATTTTCCCCCTGACTCTGTGCAATTCTTATTACCACCCTAACATTACTCTCCATGTAATATCTATTTGGATTGCAAATAATTTGGGATAGGGGCATAGTATTATTTGTTTGTAAAGTACACTTATTGCCCTGTGCAATTAGCCAACCAACAACAGGAATGATTTCTATGTAAGAAGATTTTACTGCAAATAGTCCTGAAAATCATTTAAATAAGATATAAGCTCAAACACTTAATATCATCAGAAACAATGCAAATGGTTAAGTTACTTATAAATATCTAACCAGAATTTCTGGCAGAAAAAATAATAAATTTAACAAAACTATATACTAAGTCAGCTTTATCTCTTCCAACTGTCACCCTCCCTTGTTTATCTAAACCCTTGTAAATCCTTTGCTATCAAAACATTTTTGAATTTGTGTAAAAACAAACACTTCCCAATAGCATTTTGAGTTGCAACGAACAATAATATTTGATTCTTCTGTGACTAAGTCTGCAAAGGCCAAGATACATCAAGAAGGTCTGAACTTGTAAACAATCAATTGATTGATCAGTATTCAGTGTTCACAAACTAACTGCAATACAATCTGCATATATACGCTTTATACACATTAAGAATTACAGACATAATTGTAAGTAAGCCATCAAAATGCATTTACTATAACCTATGTTAGTAATGATTCTCAATCACTGCAGTTACTATGGAAGGTTTCCTCTGTGTGTATAGGTTGGAAGTAAGACAAAGGGAGGGATGTATACAATGTTTATTTATTTTTAAATAAGGAGACCCAATTAACAATTGACAGGGAGTTTTTATAAAATTCTTAAAGAGAGAAGCCACAAAAGATCTTGAAGCCGCAGCCCACAAAAGTAAGTAAATATGTGCTATATTTAGCAAACGATAATGCAAAGCGCAGAACAATACACAGAGAAGGGAAGAAGTTCATTCCCTGTACTGCAAAGTTATTTTACTTTTTCAAGCCAAATAGCAATTAGTTTTTAGAGAAGGGGGAAACCTAATCTTGCATACTCACATAAATGAGTCACTAGAACCAACAAGAAAGGGTTCCACAAACATCCAGACAAGGGTGGACGTGCAGAGATGGCCTGGGATATGAGAGAAGAGTGAAGGTGGATTATCACCTTTATATTGAGTACTACTTTCACTTTTTCTTACTGTCTGTATCGTCTCCTTCAGATTCACAGCTTGCAAGTCTCCCCTGAGGCAGCTTGAGCCTGAAAAGAGAGAGGTAGTACTGAGCTATGCAATGTTAGATGAATGAGAAGTGAAGGATAAAGGGTGTTCATGTCCAAAACACTGTCACGGTTGGAGTAGGAAGAATGGAGAGAGAGGAAGCAAAGGGTATTGCCACAAAGTGGAAATTGAAAAGGAGGGGTAATCCATAGAGAATATTTAGGGTTTGAATGGGTTAGAAAAACAGCAGGATAGTCTGTCTCCTCAAAGTACAGTCTCATTGGGATTGACGTAAGGGACAAGGACCATTAAAGGGTGGGCAGAGAATAACCCACAAATCACAGCTTCAGAGGAATTAAAAGGAGCAGCAATCTAACCGCTGCCCTCCGCCTCCTCCCCAACAGCAGAGTCTCAGGAGCTCTGAGGAAGAAAGGTAGGACATGGGGGAGAAGGTTAGCCACCAGAGAATGGTTTCGAGGTCTGAAGGCAGATGGCCCAGAACAGACTGTCAGGGTGATGGTGGGTGGTAAAAGAAATGGTAGAAACATCTGAGAGCAGAAAATGGGCCCAGGATGATAGTGCTTGTCTTCCCTAACCAAAGCTGAGAGCAGCATTTCACAAATGCAGCCCCTGGTGGCCACGTGCAGCCACAGAGGTTTTCTTGTGGCCACAGCCTCCTGGGCATTGATTGGGGAGGAGGGAGAAGCCCTTCCCCTGGGGCCACAAGGTTGGACCCTACTCCCACTCTGGAAACACAAAGGGCGGAGGAGCAGACATCCGGTGCGAGTTCCCTATCTTCCCGGGGGTGGTGGGGCTCGAGTTTCCGGCTTCAACCTTGGGGTGGCGGGCAGCAGGCTCTGTCCACTCAACAGCGGCTGTGAGCAGGCTCTGGCCATCGGCTACGACCATGTCTCTGGGCTTTGGCTGCACAGAGACAGGCTCCGTCCCCTAGCCACTGGGCTTCGGGCTCATCCCCCAATTGCCCCAGCCCCCATGCCGCCACCAGCCCTTCACCAATCCATCCCATCACCCTGGCCCCTACTGCCTCCCTTCCCACCTCCCCATCTAAGGCTTAATTTGTCTCCCAGTTGCTAGGGTTGAGTAAGCGTGCTGTGGAAAGTGATATTTGTATGTTAATATCACTTTTCACTGCCTCCCAACTAGCTAACAAGTCTGCTGCTGTGAAAAGTGATATTAACAAACATACAAATATCACTTTTCACAGAAGCAGACTTACTAGCTAGCATGTCTAAAAAAAACCACAACCAAAAAAAAAAGAAACAACAATAAAAGGCAAGAACATGCAAAGCACCTTATTTGTGTTTCTATTCTATTTAGGTCCAGTAAAGAATAGAGAAAACTGTACATTGTTGTTATTATTATTATTGAGTCTGTTTAAAAAAACCTACATAAATAAATTACTATGATTTGGACATGGATTTTTCTATATTTTTTCCTAAAGTTAATTAAATATTTTAGAAAATTTGTCATAGTGGCCACCACCAAGAGTTAGTGACCACACTCTGAGGCCACCAAAAAATTTGTTGTGAGACCCCCCCGAGAGTGGGGAAGAGGGTGAAAGGTGGGGAGGGGAGCAATGTACAAAACAGAGTATTTCAAGGTATCTGAAAAGGGACAGTGGGGGCAGGGAAGGGTGAACCCCCTATAACTGAGTATCCAAGGAGGGATCAAAGGGGGGAGGCATGGGGCAGATTTGTTCTTCTCCAAAACAGTCTTGGGAGGATAGTGGGGGCAAGGTATACAGTGGGAGGAGAGAAGTACGTCTCCTTCAAATGAGTCAGGGGGATGAGGGCAGGTATGGAATGGGCTAGTCCCCTCTATAGCAGAGTCTCAGAGGGACCATGGGGCAGGGGGGATAGCCCTCCCCCTCAAGAGCAGTCTCAAAGGAACCGCGGGGCAGAGCGGGGATGAGCCCCCCCCCATACCAAAATGTCAAAGGAATCACGGGGCGGAAGGGGGGGGGACGCCCAAAACCAGTATCCAGAGGGATGGGCTAATGACCCCCCAGCAGCCCTATGGGGCTGCAGTCTATTCCCCTCCCCCCACCCACAGCAAAGTCCCGTGGGAGTGGGCAGGGGGAGCAGCCCCTAGCGCGCAGCCTCGGGGCGGGCAGGGGGGGGGGGAGGGAGGGGGCTTAGCCCTCCCGTAGCAGTGGCTGGGGCAGGCGCCCCCATGACGGAGTCTCGGGGCAAACAGGGCTTTAGCCCCCCGGCTGTTACCTGTCTCCTCCTGAGGGGGACGGGACCGGCGGCCGCTCCGCCGCCGCTCCCCCCACTGGCACTGGCTCAGGGGTGGGGGGAGCCGCAGACCCAGCCGGGGGCGTTGTGGGGACACTTTGCACTGACTGAGCCGCCCCCCTCCTCACTCCAGGGTCACTGGGCAGGGGCTGACCCCCACCGCAGCCAATCAGCTGCCGCAGCCATAGTCCCGCCCCGAGCCGTAAACCACCGCCGCGCCGGGTTGGGTGGCGGGGTTTGGGCGACTCCGCCCATCTCCCCTCCCAAATGCCGTAAAGCCCGGTGGGGCTTTGCGACAGCTAACGGTAAGGATTGATTGCGCTCGAGTTTGTCCTGGGAGAAGTGGGCCCTACCACGCCCCGTCTCCAGGGGCGGGTAAAGCGAGGGGGTTGCCTAGCAGCGATGGGTGGGAGGGGCGAGCGAGACTTGCGTGACTCGTATGCACCGCGGCGGGGCCTGGCGGCGATGGCTAAAGAGCGGGACCTTGGGCTGCTAGGTGAGGGCGGCTGGGGGGTGGCGGGGATTGGGCGGGGCGGGGAGCTGGGCTGCGGTCGAGGGAGGGGCTGAGGAGGGCGGTGAGGACAGTTGGGCGGGCAGGGGTGTGCGAAGGCAGGAGGAGGGGCTGAGGGGGGCGATGAGGACAGGTGGGTGCGGGTGTGTGAAGGCAGGAGGAGGGGCTGAGGGGGGCGGTGAGGACAGTTGGGCGGATGGGGGTGTGTGAAGGCAGGAGGAGGGGCTGAGGGGGGCGGTGAGGACAGTTGGGCGGATGGGGGTGTGTG